GTTTACTGCAGCACTATTTTCAATAGCCATGGCATGGAAACAACTCAAATGGCACAAGACAGATGAATTGGTCAAAATGGTGTGGCGTAGATACACAAGGCAATATTACTCAGCAATGAAAACAGACAAATTCATGCCACAGTTGGTGATATGGATGGAGCTGGACGGGATTGTGCTGGCCACAATAATCAGGAGAAGCAATATCAGATGTGAAATACGGAGAAACTGAACAAAATGTAAAGAAAAAGACAACCCTAGCAGGCTGATCAAGAGCTGAGGCATCTAGCAGGGAGCTGGAGGGAGGGGGCTAAACAGAGGGGAGGGAAGAGCATAAGTGATTGAGGTGATGGTCACAGCTGCTATGGTGGTGGGAGCAATATGGAGACCACCCCTGGCGGAGAAAACAGTAACTAGACAAAAATGAACAAGGATGTAAGAAAGGAAGGAAAAAAAGTGATGGTCTTTAAGGACAGGGGAAACCCTATAACAACATAAAAAAATGAATGTTCTTAAAGGGTTGTGACATCCTGAACAATACTGCAGGCACTACAGAGTGATCCCCTCTTCACCAGATCTAGAATAGTTCTCCAGGAACTTTCTCTGGTAGGTGCAGCAATTAATCCTGCTGTGTTAGAGAAACAGAGAAAAGGCTTTTTTTAAAAGATTGATTTATTTTTATACAAGAGCTGGGGTGCAGGCCAGAGACACTGCAGGGTGAGAAGATTCACCAAAGACCGAGTGGGGATCAGAACAGGCAGACAGACAGAAATACACTGTTGTGGGGGAGTAGCAGGGAGATAGGAGAGGTCTTCCGTGCCATGTGGGTATCTCCCTGGCCGGCTGGAATTGAAGCCACACTTCAGAGGCTATGGACAACTTCACAGCATTGCGCTCAAACCGCTGTGCCATTGGGGAGGCCCGAAAGGGCTATTTTTTTAAAATTTATTTATTTATACAAGCACTGGGTACAGCAGAAGCGTGGAAGGATGAGAGAATTTACCAGTGTCAGAACAGGGAACAGAACAGGCAGACTGACGTAGGACACTGCTGAGGGGAGCAGCAGGTGCGGCAGGAGAGGTCTGCAAGCCCTGTGGGACCCTCGCCAGCGGCCGGGGATGGAACCAGTGATGCAGAGGCTGCAGGCAGCTTCGCAGCCCAGTGCACAACTGCTGCACCACTGGGAGGCCCACTGAAAGGGCTATTTTTAACTGCAGTCTCTCATGACTAGCAATCATGTTTGGGATGAGAGCCATTCTAAAACTTTTAAGTAATTCATGATCAATATTAATGACAGCATCCTCACATGCTAAAATGATACTTGAAAGTTTTGGTCTGTCTCGTTTTAGCCCAAGCTCCTTCCTTATGGAGGAGGACGCCCAGCACCCACAGACCTGTTCTGAGGATGGACGAAAATTGCTTCCCTCCCCCGGTCTCCAAGAGGGTTACAATTTGCCTTCGTTTTAAAACCTGTGGTTCAGTACAAAATACAAAAATTCGGGAGGTCCAAAAATAACTGGCCCTTGTGTTCATTTTTTGATCTCAGAGAAGTTACTGATCCCTTTTAGACCACAAGGTCCACAACTACAGTGTAGGAATAATATCTCTATAGCGTCATTAACAGAGATCATGCAACTAAAGCACTGAACTTGTTACACAGGTTCAGATAATCTCCATCAGATGCTCAATAAAGGCTGATTCCTTTCTGCTTTCTAGAGAAATTCAACTTTTCTCCAAAGCAAGCATAACAGAGTAAGTGGCAACACCTTTAAAAGTAAAGTGCAGCGTCCCCCCCACCCCCCGCCGGTGGGTTAGGGGTTAAATCCCAGTGCTGTCACCATGACAGCCTGAGTTCAATCCTAAGCCAGGAGTTGACCCACTAGGTGCAGCAGACCTCCTCTGTCTCACCCGCTGCTCCCCTCAGCAGTGTATCTCAGAAGATCCTCCTGTTCTGCCCCCTACTCTGTCTCTGGTGGATCCTCTCACCCTCCCACACATCTGGACTGCGCGCCAGATTTTGTATGCAATTTAAAAAAAAAATCTATAAAAAAGGGCCTCCCCTAGTGGGACAACAGTTGAGCGCTGGGCTGCGAAGCTGTCTGCAGCCTCTGCAGCGCCAGTTTGATCCCTGGCCGCCAGTGAGGGTCCCACATGGCACAACAGACCTCTCCTGCCATGCCCGCTGCTCCCCTCAGCAGTGTATTTCGTCAGTCTGCCTGTTCTGTTTCCCGCTCTGGCTCTCTCTCCCACGCTTCTGACTGTACCCCAGTGCTTGCATAAATAAATATCTTTAAAAATATCTTTAAAAAAGACACATAAAGGGGGTTTTCTCCAAAATATCCTGTTCCCATGAGTCATTGTGGTTTACTCAATCCCTGAAATAGGAGGGATCCTTTTAGCACCATCTATAGAGAAAAAATCTCAAGATCTTAGAAAAGAACCCTTCAGTGTCAAAGATGCTCCGCATTTAGAAAGTTTCCTTCCCTGTAAGTGACAGCGCCCGCTGACCCTGCTGAAAGGTTTCTTGGGTGTGTCCTTTAATGACGCAGAGAGGGTCACTGCTTTCACTGCATGGAGTCGGTTGATAATAACCCATTTAAAAAACCAAACACTGTAGCCAGCGTGAGGCCAGCTGTGTGGCTCCTGGTCACTCAAGATTCAGGGAAGCCTGGATTCTCTTCAAGGGAGAGTGTAAAGTCGCCTCTGGAGGCAGTGGCCAGGGGTCCAAGGTCCCTCTTCCAGGCTCTGAAGTACAACGTCAGCTGCACAACAGGGAAGCAACGCTGCAGACTTCACATGTGGGCCCAAGACCAGCAGGGGCAGCATCTCAGACCGTTTGTGAGAAATGCAGAGCCACAGGCAGCAGCAATCCCCTGGGTCAGAACTTGTGCCCCCAGGAGACTGGGACATGACTCTGCACTCCTGCCTGCTGGACCTGGGGTTGGGAGGGGGTGTCAGCCCCAGAGAAGATTACAACATGTAAACTTATAATTCCCCAAATTATATTCCAAGTTCACAGAAATTAAACACACAAATCAGTGGGACACAGCGGGGAGCCCGGCAAACCCACCCCACGGGTGATCAGTGCAGCAGGGAGTCGCTGGGAACAAACACGGGGGACGCGCTTTCCGTCAGGGGCGCTGGCCACCCACGGGATCAAACTCAGGAAAGACCTGACCCCCATGTTCCTCCAGGACCCAAAATGACCCGCGCAGAGCTCTGCACCCCCAGCCGCCCGCCCCAGGTCCCCTGACTGGCCCGCTCTGCATCAGCCACCGGCAGCGACTTGTCCTCACCTCCCTCTTGCTCCGGGTGGTTCCTGAAGAAACTGGGCTCCCGCAGGCAAGAGCTTCACCCCGAGTCTGGAGCAGCGAGTGCCAAGGAGACCCCAGCAGCGGGGGAGGCGGGAGCGGGCACAGGGCCAGGGCTGCAGGGGGCGAGAGTCCGGTCCTGGGGTGTCTGCGATGGTCTGAGGCATCCAGCGGGACCGGGGTGGCTGATGTGCGATTCCCGGGGTCTCTAAACAGCGACCACAGTGGCTGCGGCACCTGCCCGTGCCCTGCAAAGGGGGGAAGCGGGTGGGGCTCGGTCTCCCCCCTCAGACCCTCCCCTCCCCCTCCATCGCCGCCAGGGGGCGCTGCCCCTCCCCCAGGCCGGCCCCCGGCCCCCTCCCACCGCCCCCCTACGTCGCCGCCAGGGGGCACTGCACCCCGCTAGGACTTGGCTCCCGCCCGGGCCTTCCCCGCCCTGGCGTCCCCACCGGCCGTGCCCTGGGCCTGGCGCTGAGATGGGGCGGCCATTGGGGGATCCGAGGGCGGGGCGGGGATCCATGGGCCCAGGAGAGAAGCCGCGGGGGGAGGAGCGAGGGGGGACTTGCGGGGGGAGGCGAGGGGGCTCGGACGCGCAACGGGGCCAACGCGGAGACTGAGGCCTGGGGGCGCCAAACATGCCCCTGGACACCCCGCCCCACCCAGGAGCTGACGGGCAGGCAGGACAGACCCGAGGGCACTGGGGTGTGGGGGGTGAGGGCTCAGGCAGGAGGCCCGGGAGGCCCAGCTGGGAGCGGGGGAACAGGTCGTGTGGAACCCGAAGACGCGGCTGGAGGGGGACATGCCGCGAGGAGGCGCTGACCCGGCGCCCCCGTCCCGAGGGCTTCGCGAGCGCCCTCCCGCGGGGCGGGCAGGGAGTCTGGCCTTGGGGCCGGCGTCGGCGGGGTTTGGGGGCGCGTGGAAGACGCTCCAACCCCTCGATGGGCGAGGCCTTCCCCGGCGCGTTATTCAGTCACCAGCGGTGGGAACCGCCTCAGCGACCAGTCAGGAACGCCCCCTCAGAGACACACCCCGGGACGGCGTTCAGGAGGACAGGGAGTGTGTGTGGGCCGCGGCCGCCTCTGCGCGCCTCCTGCGTCCTGTGTGCGTGTGTGCGCGTGTGAGAGTGTGTGTGTGTGCATGTGAGAGTGTGTGTGCCTGTGTGTGCATGTGAGTGTGTGCGTGCGTGTGAGTGTGCATGTGCGAGTGTGTGCTTGTGGTGTGCATGTGAGAGTGTGTGTGTGTGCGTGTGCATGTGTGAGTGTGTGAGCGCGGTGATCCGGCGCTGAGGCGGGGACGCGCGTGCGGGTGCGGGCGGCTGGGGAGAGAAGTGACCTTGGGCGTCAGGGGATCAGGTGGGGAGTGAGAAGAAGCGGGGCACAGGGAGCAGGCGGGGCCCCACTTCGTCCCCACGCGCACCTGGCTGGTGTGCAGCGGGGCCGAGGGTGTGTGAGGGTGTCTAGCGAGGGGAGGCGGTAACATTCTCTGTGTGCGCGCAGGTGTGTGATGTAGTGGAAACACGAAGTCAGCACACGTTGGCGACCCCTGAGGCATGAAGTGCCGAGACAAGGACACACCCGGGCCGTGGCTGGAGACCAGACAGGTTGGAAGACCGACCGGCCCCCGCGCAGATCTGGAACGTCTTTCCCGGGTCAGAGAAACGACGAGGCAGTCGCGGATGAGGGGTCTCTCCCATAAGCGGTAACAAGGTGGCCTCTCCCATATTTCTTCCCAGTCCGCCCGTGTTTGACAGGTTCCTTCTTGCATTCCAAGGAGCTGAGAAAAGCAAGCTGGTGCCCACCTGACTCGGGGTGGCCCTTCCTCCTCCCCTTTGCAGCCCCTCTCCTGTCTTCCCCTCTGTCCCCTGGTAGACACACCCCTGCCCTCTGCCCAAGAGCAAGACCTTGTCTTTCAGACATGAGTCTGTTGCCCTCCTTGCTTCTGGACAAATTCAACCACTTTCCTTGTATATGAGGCCGGCGTTCACTCACAATTGGGAGGGCCAGAGCCGAGAGCTGGATGCTACTTGGGCTCTGCCAGCCCAACTCTGACTCTCGGGGAGGGAGCAGTAGCCCATGGCAGTGTGCCAGGCCTTCCCCATCTGCATCAGAGCAGGGGCCTGGGCATCCCGGGTGGCATCCTGACCCCTGTGCTCAGAGGGAGTGCCCTCTCTCCAGGGGGAGGGAGAGTCCCAGCAGCTGTGGGGTATTTCCTCCAGGCAACCTCCCAAGGTCTCCCCAGGAAAGGCACATCATTCTCTGCCCCATGGATTCACTGTGCAGGAGATGGAACCTGGGGGAAGATGGTGGTCCCCAGGAGTGCACACCAATCCCCTGTCCTGCACGCATTTGTGAGGAATCAAAGTCCCCCTCGGAGAGGGAAACCAGTTTCCCTCAGTTTGGGAGGGAGTCTGTAAGTCTCTCCCAGCTGGGGCGCCTTTCCTGTGTCAGGCCCAGTTGAGTGGGAACTGGGGAACATATGGTAATTTTATTTTGGTGTCTGGTATTTGGAATTTCTCGTTTTTTTTTTTTTTTTTTTTTTTTTTTTTCTGGAAGCCAGGGATGTGGTTAATATGGTGAGAGGTGCCGTATCTGTTTCATCTGAAAGCCTCTTGGGGACACTATTAAGTGAGTTGAGGACCTGTAGCTGCCAACCCATGTCTAAGAAGCAGCTCTTGTCACTGTTTCCCTGCAGGAGCCCAGGAGCAGCTGACAGTGGGGGACAGACTGACACTTTTCTAACACAAAGTCCAGGCAGCGTGCGCTCTTTGTCCACACTGGCTGGCTCAGGCATGAGTTCCTTGTGACTCTCCTCTTTTTCAGTCTCACCCTGACATCCAGGGTAAGCTCAGGCACTTTGGCCATGGGCAACCTAGGACAACCCGGACTCTCTGAACACTGGAAGGTGGCTGGGAGGGCTGGATTGTCCCAGTGAGAGCAGTGGGCCTGGACTGGGGCTTCTACTTACCTTACTTGGTCCTCACTTTGTGCAAGTAGTTTTGTGAATCTGAACATTGTGTCTGTGTAAGCAATTCAAGCAAGTCTCCTGAATCAGATCTTGGTTATTTAAAAATTTGGTATTTTTTCTTATTTTTATGTGTTTAGTCAGACAGCCAATTCAGTATCCATCTGTCACTGTGAAAATGGGATGGAAAGTAGGCTGAAGAGAGTGTTCTCCACTTGAAGGAGGCATTTTCTTCCTCTGGTTCCAATTGTGGGCTCTAGAGGTTTTAAAATGATTAAAATGTGACACTAATTAGAACATGTAAGAAATTCAGTTTCCATCTCAAATTAGAAACCTCCTTGATTACCAAAGGGGGAAAAAAATAAAAAAGCTTAAATGGCTATATCGACTTAACCTGAAAAACTTAAGTTGTTTTAGGAAATAGTCTAGCTTTGTCTTGAAAAGGTATATAGTTCTGGTGAAACTGACCACCCATCCAAAATCTCTTCTAGGAATTTAAGGAAAAAGTGACCTTAAATGGGCCTCCCTGGTGGCGCAGCATTTGAGTGCTGGGTTGTGAAACTGCTGCGGCCTCTTCAGCACAGGTTCTATTCCCAGCTGCTCCCCGGCCACCAGAGGAGGGTCCCACATGGCACGCAGACCTCTCCTGCTGCCCGCTGCTCCCCTCAGCATTGTACTTCGGTCCTTCTGCTAGTTCTGCTCCCTGCTCTGACTCTGGTGAATTCTCTCACCCTCCCGTGCTTCTGACTGTACCCAGTGATTGAATAAATAATAAAATAAATAAATTAAATCTGAAAATATATAAATAAATAAATAGATAGATAAATAATTATGGGTTTATAAGATATTATTCTGTTAAAAATAAAGTGGCCTTAAAAAATCTCATAGGGAATATTCTGTCTCACATTCTTTAGAACCAAAGGGCATTCTTACAAATAAAACTTGAGAAATGTTTTCTTATCTGAAAGAATTAGTTAAAAATTATTATTTATGAAATGGTAATGAAAAACCTCCCCAAAAACAAAAGTCCAGGACCTGATGGATTTACAAATGAATTCTACCAAACTTTCAGAGACGAATTAGTGCCTATCCTTCACAAACTCTTCCAAAAAAGTGAGAAGGAAGGGACAATACCAAACACGTTCTATGAAGCCAATATTACACTAATTCCAAAACCGAATAAGGAAATCACAAAAAAATGAAAACTACAGGCCAATCTCCCTAATGAACACTGATGCAAAAATCCTCAATAAAATTTTAGCTATCAGAATCCAACAATGTATCCATAAGATAATTCACCAGAACCAAGTTGGATTCATTCCAGGGACACAAGGATGGTTTAACATCCGAAAATCAATCAACGTTATCCAAGACATCAACAAAAAGAAATATAAAAACCATATGATAATATCAATAGATGCTGAGAAAGCTTTCGACAAAGTGCAACACACATTCATGATAAAAGCCCTTGAAATTCTTGGGATACAAGGAACATACCTCAAAATCATAAAGGCCATCTATGACAAGCCAACAGCCAGTATCATTCTCAATGGTGAAAAGCTGAAAGCAATTCCATTAAGATCTGGAACAAGACAAGGATGTCCACTCTCAGCACTGCTTTTCAATATAATACTGGAAGTCCTAGCCAGAGCAATAAGACAAGAGAAAGACATACAAGGAACCCAAATAGGAAAAGAAGAAGTCAAACTATCACTATTTGCAGATGATATGATAATATACATAGAGAACCCCAAAAACTCCACAGAAAAACTAATTCAACTCATCAATCAATTCAGTAAAGTGGCAGGATACAAAATCAACACGCAAAAGTCAGTAGCCTTCCTATACACAAACAATAAATCTGAAGAAGAAATAAAAAAAAAAACCCTTTTATTATCGAAACAAAAAAAATCACATATTTGGGAATAAATCTAACAAAAGAGGTAAAGGACCTATACAAAGACAACTATAAAACACTGTTAAAAGAAATAGAAGAAGACACAAAGAAATGGAAAGACATCCCCTGCTCATGGATTGGAAGAATAAACATTATTAAAATGCCCATCCTACCAAAAGCAATATACAGATTCAATGCTATTCCAATCAAAATTTCAATGTCATTCTTCAAAGAAATAGAACAATTATTGATGAAATTCATAGGGAATCACAAAAAAAACCCGAATAGCCAAAGCTCTACTGAAAAAAAAAAAAGAAGGAAATGATGGAGGCATCACACTCCCAGACTTCAAACTATACTACAAAGCCATAATCATCAAAACTGCATGGTATTGGAACAAGAACAGACATACAGAACAATGGAATCAAATAGAAAATCCAGAAATAAACCCACAGATTTATGGTCAACTAATCTTTGACATTGGAGCAAAGAAAGTTTGTTCAATAAATGGTGCTGGGAAAACTGGGTCGCTACATGCAAAAGAATGAAGCTTGACCACTACCTCACACCATACACAAAAATCAACTCAAAATGGATTAAAGAACTAGACATAAGACCTGAAACCATAAAATACATAGAAGGAAATATAGGCGAAACACTACGGGACTTGCACATCAAAGACATCTTTACAGACACATCACCCAAAGCAGTGATAGTGAAGGCAATGATCAACAGCTGGGACTACATCAAATTAAAGAGCTTCTGCACAGCAAAAGAGACAATAACCAAAACAAAGAGAAACCCCACCAAATGGGAGAACATTTTTGCACCCAACACTAATGATAAAGGACTGATCACAAAAATCTGCAAAGAGCTGATGAGACTCAGCAACAACAAAGAAAATAATCCAGTCAAAAAATGGGCAGAAGAGCTAAAAAGAAACTTCTCTGAAGAGGAAATGCAAATGGCCAACAGACATATGAAAAAATGTTCAACATCACTTGTAATCAGGGAAATGCAAAACAAAACTACCCTGAGATACCATCTTACACCAGTGAGAATGGCACATATTAAAAAAACTAGCAACAACAAATGTTGGCAAGGGTGTGGAGAAAAAGGAACTCTTCTGCACTGTTGGTGGGAGTGCAAACTGGTCCAACCACTATGGAGAGCTGTGTGGAGATTTCTGGACCTACTAAACATAGAGCTTCCATATGATCCAGCAATTCCACTCCTAGGTATTTACCCAAATGACACAGAAACATCAATTCCAAAGAACACCTGCACCCCTATGTTTATAGCAGCACTATTTACAATAGCTAAGCTTTGGAAACAACCCAAATGCCCAAAAATATATGACTGGATCAAGAAGATGTGGTCCATATACACAATGGAATATTACTCAGCATTCAAAAAAGATAAACACATGCAATTTGCAGCAACATGGATGGCGTTGGAAGGGATCATGCTCAGCGAAATAAGCCAAAAAGAAAAAGAAAAATACCGGATGGTCTCACTCATAGCAGGAATCTAGAAAACTTAAATAAGGGACCAGGAAAATGAATATAAGAAAGTGAAAATCAAAATCAACAAAAAACTATGAACCAGAGACACTTTTTGGGGGGTGGGGGGCGGGAGGGGAGGGATTGGGGTCAGAATGGGGGGGTTGCAATTGTATGGGGGAATATAAAAATAAAATTTATTATTTAAATAAAAAAATAAATAAAATATATCATAAAAAATATTATTTAATGGCCTCCCCTGGTGGTGCAGCTGTTGAGCGCTGGGCTGCGAGTCTGCCCGCAGCCTCTGCAGCGCCAGTTCGTTCCCGGCCACCAGCGAGGGTCCCACCGAAAAAAAAAAAAATAAAAACATTTAAAAATAAATTAGTAATTGTTGTCAGTCTTGTCATAAATACTGGTAAAATAACTTTCTCTAAAAATTAGTGCAATGGTCCAAATTCTAAATGAGAGATCTGTGTGTGTGTTTTCACCTTTGTGTCTTTTGTCTCCAGAGGGTTGCCGGGTTAAAATGGTGCCATTATATAGTCTAAGATTTATTTATTGATGCATACAAGAGCTGGCATACAGGCCAGAGATGCGGGGAGTGAGAGGATTCACCAGAGACAGAGCAGGGAGCAGAACAGGTAGATCGACTGAAGTACACTGCTGAGGTGAGATGCAGGTGAGACAGGAGAGGTCTGCCTCGCCATGTGGGTCTCTCCCTGGCTGGCTGGGTATCGAACTCGTGCGGCAGAGGCTGTAGATTGCTTCATAGTGCGGTGCTTAACCCCTTGCACCACCAGGGATTCCACCACAAAAACGATTTCAAAATGCAATGGTTTAATTAAAGCACTGGTGAGCACCTTCATTGATATTTCCTCCCCTTGTCCTAGCAAAAAAAAAATAAAATAAACAAAAATCCTCTGGCATATGAATTTGTTTCATTTGTAATGCTGCATTTTGAACTTCGCATCCTAAGAAAAACTAGAGCTTCTTCTGGTTTCTCTATCTTAAATTTGTTCTATCATTATTTACGTGGTGGTATATTTCTCCTATAAAACTAAGGATCTCCTAAGTTCAATAAAATGAAAATTTGACTACTTAATGAGCTTTTGGTTTATATTTTGCTTCTTAATATAGGAAATCTAAACTTTATCATTTTATGTAAAAAATAAATAAATAAGAAGTATTTATATATGAGTTACCCAGTAGAAAGGAATAACAGCATAACAGCTCTTACAATGCCCTGAGGTGAAAAATGTGAGCCTGAGTTGTTCATTACCCAAAGTTATGTTGGACAAGGCCTGGGTGTGGACAAAAATTTTGGGGATTGACTGACGGAATTTCTCTGGCCAGGCGCCTAACTTGTGGCAGGGCAGCGCCCCCTGGCGGCAAAGGAGGGGGCGGCGGGAGGGAGGTGGGGCCAGGCTGGGGGAGCAAGGCCAGGTGCCTCAGCCACTGAGGTCGCTGCTCAGAGAACCCGGGGACCCCACATTGGCTGCCCTGGGCCCCTGGATACCTCGGACCATCGCGGACACAGAGGGTCGGACTCCGAGGTCAGGTCTGCGCGGGGGTCTCAGGCTCGTCCCCCAGGGAGTTGCTGCTAAGGGGCCGAGAGTCTGCGAGCAACGGGCGCTGGCACGACAAAATCCTGATGCCCTGGGGATGCCTGTGTTGTCCCAGGAATATTCTCTCTCCGCCTAGAGTGCAGGAGGCAGACTTGTCAGAGGCAAGAGTTCAGGGTGCTCCTCTGGGGTGCGCCAGGAGTGACCTGTCCCCGCCCCTGTCCGCCTCTCTGCAGGCGGCTGCCCTGTGTGTGGACAGTGTCCACGTCTCCAGGTCCATCCACAATGTCACGTGTGGTCTTTTATTCCCGTCCGTGTTTTCACGGACCTTTTTAAAAATAGCAGATACACGTCCGTGTGTAAACTCTATCCCCTCTTCATGAAATACAGCCCCTGCCCCCATTCTGGAGAGGCTGTGGACTGAGAAGATCAGAGTGAATGACCTATACTGTGGAGCACTCCCTGGGACACCCCGCAGGGCATCGGACCAGATTCGGGTTGGGAGGGGTGGCGCTCAGGTGAGAGTAGCTTTAGATTTCCTGTGGGGGAGTCTCTGCTCTGTGCAGCAGGGTGGGGGTACACACTGGACAGTGATCACGAGCGCCCAGAGACTCAGGATTGTAAAAACTAAAGAGGAAGAGCAGCTGGGACAGTGCTCACTAAGCACTAACTGAAGAACCAGAGAGTCGATCACAGAACTTGGGAAAAAGTTGCCTTTGATGCAAATAAACTATGTTTTCTCCAGAGTAGATTTACACCTTAACGTACCATCGACTGGCAGACACCCCAGCTCGGGTGCAAGTCCTCTGTGAGGATCAGGCCCTGCTGTCCCTTTGTCCCAATGCGGCCCAAGTGACCCTTGTCCCTAGTTCCCGTGCACACATGGAGGCTCCCAGCAACATCAGGAATTCCCCACTTACCAATGATCAGGGCTGAGGACTGACAACTTGGGAGGTGTGACAAAACCATCAGGCTAGATTTGGAAAAAAGTTACTTTTTTGGTTTCCCATTCAATTTTAAAAATGTATGCTCGGGCCTCCTGGGTGGTGCAAGTGGTTAAGCATCAGCACTATGATGTAATCCGTAGCTACTACATCAGGGATTCGATCCCCGGCCAGGGAGGTGACCCACATGGCAGAGCAGACCTCTCCTCTCCCCCACTGCTGCCCTCAGCAGTGTATTTCTGTCAGTCACCTATTCTGCTCCCTGCTCTCTCTGCTGAATCCTCTAAGCCCACCACCTCTGGCCTGTACCCCAGTTCTTGCATGCACAAATAAATAAGAATTAAAAAAATAAAACAGTAAGCTCTTTGTCTATTGGTAGGAGACAGTGACTCTGCAAGTGGATATTGGAATCAGTCACCCTGTGTGTATATACAATTATTCCCCATATATATCCTTGTTTATTCCTTTTTGTAATTTCAGAAAAAGAAAAGAGATTCATTAATGTATCTTTAAATTTCTGAAGATTACAAACTATAGGGTCCCCCCTGGTGATACAGGGGTTAAGTCTCAGTACTATAAAGCTATCCATGGCTACTGGAGGACGAGTTTGACCTTTCCAGGGAGCTGACCCACCTGGCTCATGGGGGAGGGGCAGCTGCCCTCAGCAGTGTATTTTAGTGGATCTGCCAGTTCTGCTCCCAACTCTGTCTCTGGTGAATTTTTCTCACTCCCTGTAATGCTGTCCTACATCCCAGTTCTTGTAGCATAAATAAATAAAATAAATCTTTTAAAAAGATTATAAATTATAGCTTAGCACAAAGGATAAATAAAATATAATTTTATAACAAAATAAACTCCAAAATCCTGCTAGCTCTCTCTTTTGTTAAATCATATTTTAGAGTGTGTTTAGGGAAAAAGAAATCACCAGAATGGATCTATAATCATCACACACTTGAACATAACCTGATTCCAGTAAGGTTGTAACAGGCCATCCATCACTTTCAGTGTTTCTGTGGCATCCTATTTGTGGGTGTCTGTGTCACATGTGGTAATATCCTCTATTCCTATGGGGTGATCACAAGATTTCCATGGAACAAGGGCAGGTGGTTGATGTCAGTGAAGAAAGGAACACATATTCTAGGTTTGCTCTGGGTGCTGTATCTGTTGTGTGCAACTGGGTAAAGAGCACATTAAACGGGATATCACTGATGGCTGAGAGTCACTCAGACAGTTGAGGTAACGAGAGTAATTAGAAGAGGTGAGCTGCCCTTCCTGGGTTAAGGGAAGACTCACTGTTGAAACACCTGTGTGCAAGGGTCCTGGATAGTATAAACGTGAAATTTCAGAATTACCACATGACTCCATTAACTGGGTGAAGAAACACAAGGCCACACTATCATAATCTTCATCTCCGAGTAATCACAAATGTGTGGCTGTCATTACAAGTATTCCCCCTGCCTTTCATGACAATTCATCACCTAAGTGTGTCACTGACACACATGATTAACACGATTTCAATTTTGTCTGGTATCTAAAAATTAAATCAGTCATGATATGTTCATTTTATATCTTGACTCTTTCACTCAACAACATGTAGGCAAGGTGACCCACATACTGTGTTTTCACTATTGTATATTATTCCACCAAATGCAAAGTAACATCTCTCTTCTGTTCTACATGCACAGTATATTATTTCATAAAATTTTTATAACCATGCTGGAATAACACTATATTTGCAATTTTGTATAGTTTTTTTCATTTAATGTTATAACATAAGTGTTTTGCAAGTCATTGATAACTATTCAGAATGACGATACCTAATTGCTACTTTTATTGTCACATATTTGACAGTTTCCTCGAGTTCTGATGGAGATCGTTTCCTGTATTTGTTAGTACAAGCAAGTGCTGGTTAGCATTTTGACGGACATACATTTTTATTTGTGTTCACCACATTTCCTGAGGTCATTTCTCAAAAAAGCATTACTATATCTTTTAAAGCACACGCATATATATAATATTCCAAATTCTAATAGCTGAAGTCAAAGTTCCCCACAGAAGGGTGATACGAGAGTTTTCTGAATGAGCAAGAAAACTGTTTCAGCGGGTTCTTGCCTCCACGTCATTCTATCTCCCCACCTTGAAAGCTCTGACGTCACACACTCCCTCTACCTGCCCCCCCTCTGCGTGGGCGTCCCCCCTCCACGACTCTCCATGGCGGTGTGTCCCTTTGGCGGGGCTGACCCGCCCCTCGGCCCCGGCTCCATCCCCCCTGCATCCCCTGGCCAGGCCTGGGGCCTCTGGCCCCCTTATCCCACCTGGGCAACACCGCCCCGCCCCAGCCACCAGGCGGCGCGCGCCGCACCTCTGTGCCTGGTTCCCCCGCGAGCCTGTCAGTCCTCGGCCACGCCCCGCCCCCTGCGTGTTGACGTCACTCACCTGCGCGCAGACGCTGGAGCGGAAGTGGTGGAGACCCGGAGCCGGAAGCGCCCGCCCTGGCGGAGCAGGGCTGCGGGCCGAGGAGGGAGCAGCCCCGGGGGCAGCGCGCAGGCGGGGAGCGCGCCGGCTGGGGCGGGGCGGGGCGAGGCAGGGAATAATGGGGGGCGGGACGCCCCGTCTCTCCCGGTGGCGGCAGCGGGTTCGGGCCTGTGGGGTCGCGGGTGAACGATCCTCGCGTGTTTTCAGTCACGGGCGCGACTTGCTGTGGAGTCGCGTGGAAATTCTACGTTAACGGCGTCGTGGAGACGCGAGGTGTTCGCCTCCGTGTAGTTGGGTTTTCTGAGCTTCGGCGCAGCAGGACGGGCGGGGGCGCCCCGTGAGCCCCCGGGTTCTCCCGCTGGCCCGGCCCTGGGCCCGCCCCGACACCCGCCCCTGCCGCCCTGGCCCTGCGCCCGCTCCCGCCTCCCCCGCTGCTGGGGTCTCCTCGGCACTCGCTGCTCCAGACTCGGGGTGAAGCTCTTGCGTGCGGGAGCCCAGTTTCTTCAGGAACCACCCGGAGCAAGAGGGAGGTGAGGACAAGTCGCTGCCGGTGGCTGGTGCAGGGGGGCCAGTCAGGGGACCCGGGGCGGGGCGGGTTGGGGGTGCAGAGCTCTGCGCGGGTCATTTTGGGTCATTTGGGGAGGAACATGGGGGTCAGGTCGTTCCTGAGTGTGACCCCGTGGGTGGCCAGCGCCCCTGACGGAAAGCACGTCCCCTGTGTTTGCTCCCAGCGCCTCCCTGCTGCACTGATTACCCATGGGGTGGGATTTCCGGGCACCCAGCTGTGTTCCAATGATTTTTGTGTTTTATTTCTGTGAACTTACAATATAATTTGGGGAATTATAAGTTTACATGTTGTAAACTTCTCTGGGGCTGACACCGCCTACCAACCCCAGGTCCAGCAGGCAGGAGGGCAGAGTCGATTCCCGAGTCCCCGGGGCACAGGTTCTGACCCACGGGGTTGCTGGCGCCTGGGGCTCTGCATTTCTCACAAGGGGTCTGAGATGCTGCCCCTGCTGGTCTTGGGCCCGCATGTGAGGGCTGCGGCACAGCTTCCAGGTTGTGCAGCTGACGTGGTCATTCAGAGCCTGGAAGAGGGACCTTGGCCCCCTGGACACTGCCTCAGGAGGCGACTTTACACTCTCCCTTGAAGAGAATCCAGGCTTCTCTGAGTCTTGAGTGACCAAGAGCCGCACAGCCCGCCACACAGTGGCTACAAGTGTTTAGTTTTCTAAAATGGGTTATTATTAACCAACTCCTTGCAGTGAAAGCAGTGGCCCTCTCTGCATCACTAAAGGACACACCCAAAAATCCTTTCAGCAGGGTCTCCTGGGCGCTGTCACTAACAGGGAGGGAAACTTTCTCAATGGGGAGCATCTTCGACACTGAATGGTTCTTTTCTAAGCTCTTGAGATCTTTTCTCTATAATGGTGCTAAAAGGATCCCTCCTATTTCAGGGATTGAGTAAACCACAATGACTCATGGGAACTGGATATTTTGGAGAAAATCCCCTTTATGAGTCTATTTTAAAGATTTTTTTAAAGATATATTTAATAATTTATGAAAGCACTGGGGTACAATCAGAAGCGTGGGAGGGTGAGAGAATTCACCAGAGCCAGAGCGGAAAACAAAACAGGCAGACTGGTGAAGTACACTGCTGAGGAGAGCAGCGGGCATGGCAGGAGAGGCCTGTTGTGCCATGTGGGACCCTCCCCGGTGGCCGTGGAACAAACTTGTGCTGCAGAGGCTGCAGGCAGCTTCACAGCCCAGCACTCAACTGCTGTGCCACTAGGGGAGGCCCTTTTTTTAAAGCTTTTTAAAAAAATGCATAGAAAAACTGGAATGCAGGCCAGAACTGTGGGAGGGTGAGAGGATTTACCAGAGACAGAGTATGTAGCAGAACAGGAGGATCTTCTGATATATACTTCTGAGGGGAACAGCAGGTGAGACAGGAGATGTCTGCTGCACTTAGTGGGTCAACTCCCACCTGAGGATTGAACTCAGGCCATCATGGTGACAGCACTGGGATTTAACCCCTAGCCCACCGGCGGGGCGTGGGGAGGAAAGATGCACTTTACTTTTAAATGTGTTACCACTTCCTCTGTTATGCTTGCTTTGGAGAGAAGTTGAATTTCTCTAGAAAGGAGAAAGGAATCGGCCTTTATTGAGCATCTGATGGAGATTACCTGAACCAGTGCAACATGTTCATTGCTTTAGTTCCGTGATCTACATTAATGACGCTAAAGAGATATTATTCCTACATTGTAGTTGTGGACACTGTGGTCCAAAAGGGATCACAGTGGTCCAAAAGGGATCAGTAACTTCTCTGAAATAAAAAAAAATAAGCACAAGGGCCAGATATTTTTGGACCCCCCAAATTTTTGTATTTTGTTCTGAACCAGTTTTATAATGATGGTAAATTATAACCCTCGTGGAGGCCGGGTGAGGGAAGGAGTTTGTGTCCATCCTCAGAACAGGTCTGTGGGTGTTGGGCGTACTCCTCCATAAGGAAGGAGCTTGGGCTAAAATGAGACAGAAGAAAACTTTCAAGTATCATTTTAGCATGTGAAGATGCTGTCATTAATATTGAACATGAATTACTTAATAGTTTTAGAATGGCTCTCATCCCAAACATGATTGCTAGTCATAAGAGACTGCAGTTAAAAATAGCCCTTTCGGTGGGCCTCCTTGTGGCGCAGTGGTTGAGCGCTGGGCTGCGAAGCTGCCCGCAGCCTCCGCAGCACCGTTTCGATCCCCGGCCGCAGGCGAAGATCCCACAGGGTGCACAGACCTCTCCTGCCGTGCCCGCTGCTCCCCTCAGCAGTGTACTTCATCAATCTGCCTGTTCTGTTCCCCGTTCTGACACTGGTAAATTCTCTCATCCTCCCGCGCTTCTGACTGTACCCAGTGCTTGTATAAATAAATAAATCTTTTTTTTTTAAATAGCCCTTTCAGGCCTCCCCAGTGTCACAGTGGGTTGACCACAATGCTGTGAAGCTGTCCACAGCCTCTGAGGTGCGGGTTCAATTCCCAGCCATCCAGGTAGATACCCACATGGCACGGCAGACCTCTCCTATTTCCCTGCTGCTCCCCCCAGCAGTGTATTTCAGTCCGTATGCCTACTCAGCTCCCCACTCTGCCTCTGGTGATTATTCTCACCCTGCAGCACCTCTGGCCTGCACCCCAGCTCTTGTATAAATATAAATTAATCTTTAAAAAAAGCATTTTCTCTAACTTTCTCTAACACAGCAGGCTTAATTGCTGCACCTACCAGAGAAAATTCCTGGAGATCTGTTCTCGATCTGGTGAGCAGTGAATGCCTCTGCATTGCCTGCAGTATTGTTCAGGATGAGACCCCTCCCGCCTGCCTTTAAGTGCATTTATTTGCTTATTATTTTTTAGGATCTTCCCTGTCCTTAAAGACCATCTCTCTCTTTTTTTTTCTTCTTTTCTTATATCCTTGTTCATTTTTGTCTAGTTTCTGGTTTCTCCCCCAGGGGTGGTCCCCATAATGCTCCCACCACATAGCAGCTGTGACCCATCACCACAATCCCTTGTGCTCTTCCCTCCCCTCTGTTGATCCCCTCGCTCCTTCTTCCTGCTGGATACCTCAGCTCTTTGTCAGCCTGCTAGAGATGTCTTTTTCTTTACATTTTGTTCAGTTTCTCTGTATTTCACATCTGATATTTCTTCTCCTGATTTATTGTGGTCAGCATAATCCCTTCCACCTCCATCCACATCACCACAAGTGGCATGAATGTGTCTGTTTTCATTGATGAGTAATATTGCCTTGTATATCTACACCACACCATTTTAACCCATTCGTCTGTTGTGTGGCATTTGAGTTGTTTCCGTGTCATGGCTATTGAAAATAGTGCTGCAGTAAACAAAGGAGTTCAGGTTTCCTGAGTTTTTTTTTTGTCCCTTGGGTAGATTCCTAGGAGTGGACTCACTGGATCATGTCCAGAGCCATTTTCAGTATTCTGAGGAACTTCCACACAGCCGTCCATAGTAGCTAGACCAATTTGCCTTCCCACCAGCAGGGTAGGAGGCTCCCTTTTCTCCACTGCTCCTCCAGCATTTGTTGTTTCCAGGTTTTTGTTGTTGTTGTTGTTTGTTTGTTTGTTTTCTAATAGAGGCATGTTTTATTTATTTATTTGTTTGTTTGTTTTTTTGTTTATACATGCACTGGGTACAGTCAGAAGCGCGGGAGGGTGAGAGAATTCACCAGAGCCAGAGCGGGGAGCAGAGCAGGCAGAAGGACCGAAGCACACTGCTGAGGGGAGCAGCGGGCGGCAGGAGAGGTCTGCACACCATGTGGGACCCTCCTCCGGTGGCCGGGGAGAGCCCGGGATCGAACCGGCGCTGCAGAGGCTGCGGGCAGCTTCGCAACCCAGCGCTCAACCGCTGCGCCACCGGGGAGGCCCTGTTTGTTTGTTTTTTTTTAATGTGGAGCATTCTTACTGTTGTGAGATGGCATCTCTGTGGTTTTGATTTGCATTTCCTTGATACTAGTGATGCTTAACCTTTTTTCTGTGCGTGTTGGCCATTTGCATTTCTTTGGAGAAGAGTCCATTTACTTCTGCCTACTATTTGGACTAGATTGTTTGGTTTTTGTTTTTTTTTTTTGAGTTGTGTAAGCTCTTTGTAGGTGTTTGATATTAGTCCCTCATCTATCATATGGTTTGCAAATATTTTCTCCCATTCAGCAGGGTGTCTCTTTGTTTTCATCATTGACTCTTGCTGTTCTGAAGATTTTTAGGTTTATGGAGCCCCAACTGTTTACATTTTCCTTTGTTTTCTTTGCTTCTGGAGAAGAATCCTCAAAGACATTCCTGAGGATTGTGTCAGGGAGTGTTTGACTGTGTTCCCTTCTGTGTATTCTATGGTGCCAGGTTCCACAAACAAGTCTTTCATCCACTTGAGTTGGTTTGTGTATAGTGTGAGGTAGTGGTCTAGCTCCATTCTTTTGCATGTTGCAATCTAGTTTCCCCAGCACCATTTATGGAAGAGGCAATTCTTTTTCCAATGTATATTCTTTGCT